ATCTGGCTTCCGCGGGCGGTGATAATGCGCAGGCGCGGTTAGCGTGTTGATATGTGATTGGGCGGGGTCCCCCGTTCCTGATCTCCCTTCCTCCACTCCTCCTTCTCCAATGTCTCCATCTGGGGCTCTGCAGTTTTGTTTGATTACTCCTGGTCGGAGGGTTTCCCGCGGTAAAAGTGCAATATGAAGCTGGATGTGATAAAAAGCAGCAATACCACCAGAATCTGACTCCTGAAAACCCCTGTAAACCCACAGGTGTCTTAGCAGTTGGATGCCTGACTGAATCTTTTGTGGACTGTGTTAGAACCCCGCTGATTTTTTATTTTGAAACAGTTTTGCTTCGAATTGGAGAGCTGAACGGTGACCTCTGGGCTGTGGGCAGCAGCTTGTGTTAAAAAGAATAAAGCTGTTGTTTGTTTGTGTGGAAAGACCTAGAAGTTAATTGCAAGCTGGTTCTTGATCAGAAACTCTGTCCACACTTTTGGCCATTAATGAGGTCAGTATCTGCGAACTGGTACGAGCAAGTCTGGGAGAGAACATGATCAAACAGAAGGAAGGGCTGGAGTTTATGAACTGGGGCTTTCTGAGTAAAGGTCTTTGTTTGGTTGTGGATGCCACGGCTTGAAACCTTGACAATTTTCTGTACCTGTTAACTAGTGCATCATGGAAGCTGCTAAAGGAAGGGTCTAGGCCCGAAACGTCAGCCTCTCTGCTCCTATGATGCTGCTTGGCCTGCTGTGTTCATCCAGCCCTGCACCTTGTTGTCTCTGGTCAGTTTTGTTTTTGCTTTTGTAATTTATCCCTTGACAGTTTGTTTATCCGGTGTGAATGGGGCTGAAAACATTGCTGTGAGCAGAATGCGCAGTATGCTGTTGGAAAACACTTGTACATGTACTAGTGACTAAGATTGATGGAAAAGTGTCCACATGCACATTTTTGTCACTGAGCTGGCTGCCAATGTGAAAGAGGCTGAGAGAACGGAGCACGGAATGGAGGGAGACAACTGAGTGGAGTGGGAATTGGGGCCACTTTTTCCCTGCCACTCTCACTGCTTCCCTTCCCCCAGCATCAAATCTTCCGAAGATATTTTCTTATTTCCTATATACTGTGTTGCTTTTCTCAGAACATTCAACAATTTGAGAACTGCATAGAAAACGAGAGACAGCAGCCACTCCAGAAGCTTCGAAAATTGCTCTGCATCTCCTTGACCTTCTTGAACTGCTGCAGTCCGTGTGGTGAAGCTGCTCCGCGATTGCTGTTCGGTAAGGAATTACAGGATTTTCTTCCGGTGGTGATAAGTTAGTGCTGACATTTGTCAGTTATAATCCTTTTGTTGTATATCCCACCTTTTACAGAATGGAAACAAAAAACATAGGAACAGGAATAGGCCTTTTTATTGCGTTCGGTCATGGCCGATCATCCCACTCAGCAACCTGTTCCCACTTTAGACCCATACCATTTGATCTGTTTAGTCCTCAGAACTATATCTATTTTCTTCTCAGAAACATTCAATGTTTTGGTCTTAACTGCTTTCTGTGACAGCAAATTCCACAGGCTCACCAGTCTCTGAGGAAAGAAAACTTTCCTCAACTCAGTCGTAAATGGCCTACCCCATATCCTTAGTGTGTGACTCCCTGGTTCTCGACTCCCTGCTCATTGAAAGCATCCTTCCTGCCTTTACTTTGTTAGTCCTATTAGAATTCATGGGTTTCAGTGAGATCCTCCCTCATTCTTCTAAACTCCAGTGAATTTTGTCCTAACCAATCCATTCTGCCCTTGTATATCAGTCCTGCCATCCCAGGAATCAGTCCGGTAAACCTTTGTTGTACAGCCTCCATAGCCAGAAAATCCTTCATCAGATCCATATTCCAAATCTGCACACAATTTCAGCTGTGGTCTCACCAAGACTCTGTCCAATTTCAGCAAGCCATCCCTGCTCCTGTACTGAAATCCTCTCGCTATTACCATTTGCCTTCTTCACCTCCTGCTGCATCTGTGTGCTAATTTCAATGACTTGTGTACATGGACACTAGGTCTTGTTTGTCATTTCCTTTTCCTAAATCCATGCTGACTGACTGACTGTCCAATACTGTCACTGTTTTCCAGTGTTAGGCTAACTGGTCTATGATTCAGAGATAGCAGGAACTGCAGATGCTGGAGAATCTGATATAACAAGGTATAGAGCTGGATGAACACAGCAGGCCAAGCAGCATCAGAGGAG